ATTTAAATTTACATGAAGTAAATACAAAGAAATATAACAGTCTAAAAGAAATAAAATCTTTTAGCAAAACACATATTCTTATCTTGAGCTCTAGTTTTAAAACTAAACAAAACGCTTCAAAAAACTGTTAAGCTTCATATAATTAGATCAGAGGTTCAAAAATTGTCTTCTACTGTTGAAATATTTTACTGATTCCCGTTGTATTGTTTTTCTACTAATACCTGTGTCAGTTTAATTTTTTTTATGATTCTATATATAAAATAATTAATCTAAAATATAACACATATACTCCATTTCTCAAATTTGTCACATTTAATGAGGTACTGTATCATTTACACACTGAAAAATATAGCATGAAAAAAATTAAATAAACAATTAAAATATAGTACAAATTTCAAATTTTTTAAGATATAAATTTTTATTTACATCATATACTTTTAAACTTCAAAAAAAATATTGAATGAAAATATGAAATAATCATTTTAAATTGTAATATCTGTTCTAATAACTTGGTCTTGTGTTATTATTGAAAAGAGTATGATTTTTCCACTAACCAGAAGAGGTACTAAAGATAACAATTTTGGGATACACAGTGTTAATTTGTTAACCGTGATATCTACATCCTTGTCCTATCAATTCTAACGTACTTTAAATGAATAAATTATAGGGTATAATTCATTTCGTAGAAAACTATTAAATTTAACAATAAAATTTCTTAAATTTTTGTTTTGTTTCATCAGATTGCATGATTTAATGAGTCGTTCATTGCTTACACTGATTATTTCCAGAGAATAGAAAAAAGGATAAAATGTGATCTTATATTTACTTTGTTTCTTAAATTCCCTTCAGAAAATAGTTTCTTTTATCATTTAGAGGCGCTACTTTTATTATTTGGAGAAATGTATGTAAATATAAAATGCTATGTCTAAATTTCACTCTTTTATTTCATCATGAATATGAACAAAATGGAGTTAACAAAATGGATTTTGATTGTGTCATCAGCTTTTTAAACTAACCGTTTAAAAAAGTGAACAACTGTATCAGATATTTGAAAATACTGTAGCTATAGAAGAGTTCAAGCTCCATGAACGAAAAACCCTATCCGAAAGTGAGATGAAGTTTCGCGTTATTATGTTAAAGAATAAGATTGTAAATTCGTCACTAGTGATTCTGTTGACAGTATTATCTGATACACAGTATTAATTTGGTAAAAAAGATATTTCCCTATTACAGTATAACATGATACTAGATTATGGATAAGTAAATATTTATAAAGTTTATTTCATATGCAATAACATTGTAATATTGATTAAAGAATAATTCAAAAAATAGTTTTAAAAAATCAAACTGAAAGATAATTCTATAATAAATATAACTTGTGAATATTGAGAAAATCAAACACTTTTTCACGAATAAATTTTTGACAATCAAAAATAATTAACACATTCGAAGTAATTTACATATTTCACATTTATTATATTAAATTCGATATAGGTCAGTTATAAAATACGTATACTTATATTATTTTTTTGGTTATCGTTTAGGTGCACTAAGTACTGAAAATTATTTTTTTTTCTGCTGATGGTACAGTTTAGAATACGGGTTGCTTAATTCGTGCAAATATTCACATCCCTCAAACTATTGTGAATTTAAGACTAAGAGAATAGGTTAAGTAGTATAAAACAGTTGTTTAATAGCATTATTCGAAATGTGATATTAATTTTTTGAATTATTGAAAGCAGATTTCAAATTTTACCATCTTATAAAGTTTTAATGGAACATGATGTTACTAACTGTAAAGTTCATGCGTGACTTTATAAAGAACTGAGGCTGCATATGTTTTTGAGATGTATAAGCAAATTTCCTCTTCTTACCTCTTAGAAATTCCTTTGATTGAAATATCTATCATAAAAGTTACTGAAGCAGGTGGTTATATTATTAATCAATAATTATTAGATCATAAATTGAAAAATTAGAAAGCTTTTCACTTAGTTTTTCATCACATTGTTTTCTTTCTGGGAATAAAAAAAATGAATTTCATCATGAGGGTTTAAATAAAATTAAATAATTCCGCTTCGTTCTGATAAATTCAGATATAGATTACTTTTTTTGCTATCAAAAAGTCAGTTTAATCAAATTTCAGACTCACCAGAACAGCTAAATACTTTTAAGCTGAGTTCTCAATTGTTGTAGCACTCAATTGTTGAATTGTAGTCTCAATTGTTATATACGTTATGAGCCTTACTTACGTGGAATAAAGTTTAGTAATGGGTACCTTACAAATATTTTACAGCCATTTCTAGTACATTTTTAATGATCTTAAAATAATCTAAAATGGTCAGCCTAAATCGTACTACGCACCGTTTTAAGACTGCGGATGAACGATGTACAAATTAGGAAACTGCTCAAATTCTTGAACAAAATGTCATTCAAAGCTCCAAGAAATAGCCATGAATAAGTAGAACATTACATAATAAGCTGCTAAATAATGAAATATGATTTATTTGATTATCTGTGCATTACATTAGTTCTGCGCTATCAATACAGTAGATGTTCAGGTTTGGCGAGGTTGCGAGCGTAAACATCGGCTGTAGATGATTTCGATCATCAAAGTAAAAATAGCTACTGCCCAGCCTATCCCAAGAGTAATAAACACTCCATGTAAATCTGATAACCCTAAAGGTAGGGCTAATTCACTCTGAGAATAGTTACGTTTCAAATTTCTCTTTAATTCGAATTTAAAAAGGTTACGGTCCGCTATTTTTTCATATATACCAATACTCAAAATTCGAAGCAGGATTTCATTGAAGCGCTTTTTGCAAGCAAAAATCTTTCCTGATTGCAAAACCTGAAGGAAAACTTCCAAAAACATCTTTCGAATAAAAGTACATTTCCGGGGGTCCCAAAAGTAATCGAAATAGAACGGGTGTCCCAAGTATTGCTACTTTTTCAGGAACACGCGTGATATTAAGAAAGTAATACCATTTATTTTCTTTAATGTATTCCCCCAATCCTTTGAAATGAGGTACAATGCTTTGCGACAAATAATCTGCTTCAAGGGTGGGTCCCGCTGCTAGACACTCCATTTTTCCTTTTCTGACTTCGGCATAGAGATCTTTGAAATCTTTTATTTGTTTCATTTTGATTGGTGAAGTCAAAAACGATAACAGAACTGAGCTGTAACCCAAAATCAGAAAATATGAATAAAGGATCCAAATTCCAAGTGGTATCCGCCTGGACATTGAACGAGGGTTGTAGCTTATTCCTTGCCCGAAAGAAGATCCCCACAAGTTGATGAAAACCGAAATTATTGACTCTTTTGGCGAAATCAAAGCTCTAAATAGCACTGTCACAAAGAGCAGTACGACAAAAAATAAAATCCATGTGAGAATGCTGAAAGGATACGTGAATGCCGCTGTTTTCGGCAAGAGAGAAGCGTGATTCATTAGAAACGTTTTATCAAGATTGAAGTAAGGCACGCTGAAATCTGCAACAGTCGACCTCTCTTCGGTAACAGTTATATAGCTGAATGCCATGTCAGTTTCATTCCTTGCAACCATTCCCACCATTCCAGTCCAGTTTCCGAATGCATCCTTGGAACCGTACGAATGATCTGAGGGAACAAGAATTTCATATTCGAAATTTAGCGCTCGTGACAATAGTTTTATAAATTCACCATCAGCACCCGAGATAATGTTTGTGTTGTTGATTCTTTTAACGTCTGTAGATTTGGTATCTGGTAGAACTGTAATTCTAAGTTTAGAAGGAAAGAATGCTTTCATATTTTACACAATCCTTTGAGGTTCAACTTCAGATCAAGTGCTTTGACTTAAGTTAGTTCTTGAAGACTTGCAGAGTATAGAAATGCTGCATAGGTAAGAAAATTTATTAGTTCTTCATAAGATGAATGAATTCTGCATGGAAATGTTCTTCTGGAACTTGTGTTAATATTTAACGGTTGTATAAAAAGCTTTGTGTTGATTGTCAGGTTTGAAATTAGCTTTGATTTATTGAATCAAGTCTGTTCTTGAAAGCTAACAGAGAAAAAAAATCTGAATTACAAAGCTAATCTTCATGAAAAAGAGTTTCTTTAACTATAGATTATTATTTTTAAGCAATTATTATATAATAATTTGTTTGTATATTTTCAGTCTTGATAAAAATCATTATTAATTCCCAATAATATATTAAATGCTGAAATTATTTGCCCACAAGATAGTCCATGAAAGTTGCCAGGTAAAAATTTGAACTGTTAAAGTCCTTGATATGTAAGAAAAAGATCGAACAGGAAAGCGTCGAATGCAAAACAGAGTTTTCAGTTTTTATTTTTGTTTCAGAGCTTTGATGAATGGATTATTCCTCATAAAAATAATAAGTGCAGGCTTATACAAGAATTTTATACATTTAAATAAAAAACAAACAAACAAAGCTATTTGAATGAGAGGTAAGATCCATTTTTGCGTTTCATGTTGTGCTAATATTTTGTTATTCATGAATTCCCTTTTTGAATTGCACAAAAAATTTTAGTTTCTAAACAAGCATAAATTTTGAATGTAGGTACGATGTTTGTTCTTATCTAAACCCCTAATAATTTATATATCCCTATAAGAAAGTACTTGAAATGGTTTGAAAGAATATGCCATTAAATGAAATTTTTGTGGTAATCCCCCCCTCTTTTTGTCGATACTATTGAGAATAATATTGATAGGAAGATAATGTGCATGTTTATTTAATGGTAAGATTAGATGAAATAAGTAATCAAATGGTAACTAAGATGCTTCAGGACCGTGTATAACGTCTTACTATGGATTTCTTACTCATTTAAATCTATTTAACTAAATGCGGTTAATTCTTTTTGTTTCTAAAGCTAGATATGTATAAAATAATTAAAAATTAAAATTATTCGATATTTTGCAATCTGTTTTTGTACCGATACAAAAACTTTCACCGCATTGTAGATTTCACAAATAGGTTCTTTCTTTTTTTATATTTTTTAAAGCCTTAAACTATACACCTTAACATTTAAGTTAAATTATATGTTTTTTACCGTTAAAATTTTTTTTTCCTTTAATAAACCATTAAATATAGAGTCTTGTATTTTTTTAAACTTTCTGCATGTTTTTACAGAAATAACATCAAAATAAATACCGTATGTAAGAGTAGCTCATTTCGAAATGCGATATCTATACGTTTTATCGTCGGGGTTTCAAACACTCTCTTGAGATTTTTTTTTATTTATTTATTTTTGCTATTGTTTATTATTACAACTGACAAAATGACAAACAGGCTTATTTTCTGGAATAGAAACTCGTTGTTAAACGTAATGAATATTAGCAATGAATAATTGTGAAGAATTAGAATGAAGAAAACACTTAATAAGGAAAGAGAAAAACTATTATAAGAGTTGTAAAAGTAATGAAAAAACTTCTATGCTAACTCATTTTTTCTTATTCCTGAAGAAATATTTTGAGAATTATTTTGAAGTTTAAGAAGTGTGTCAATAGCAATTTCTCAAAAAAATCAATAAATTTTAAACCAAATTTAAGGGGCTGGCAAATCCGAAAACGAATTAAATTAGTAAATTACGAATAAATTTTTTTTTTGTTGAACTTTCTATATGCGCTAAACTTGATGTGTGCTATAAACTTGTAACGTAAATCAATTACTTTGGTTATTATATGCAAGAACGCACAAAATTTTTTAGACTTGGCTTAAATATTCGTGGAGAGATGGATATTTTTTTTATTCTAATTATTTTGCTTTGCGTTTTCTAACTATATCTGCAAAAATATTTCGCTGTAAATAATTTAATAATTTTTTGCAGTAATTTTTCAATAATAACAAATATATGATTTTATAATTAAAAATTTGTTCTTTAAAAATTGCACAAGAAACAAGTAGTTAAAGTATTCTTTTTATACGGCGCATGCACGCAAAACTTCAGAATATATTTTTTTATGCTTTTATTTTAAATTGTATTTGGTTACCTATCAAAAAAGCCCGATTTGTATATCTTCAAAACTTAAAGAGGTCTTAGTAGTTCTTTTTAAATTTTCCAAGTAGTTTTGGAAAATTTAAAAAGACAGCTTTGAGTAGAAAGGGGCTTTCCTTATATTATATTTTGAATGATTAAACAAGATCTATGAAAAAAAGATTTATTAAAAATTCCATAGGCATTGCATGGAATCATTCCATATTAAATTATTTCATGTATTTTCTTTCCTAATATCATCACAAATTGTTCCGTATCATCATTTTAGAACATTTTCATTTGTTATTAAAGTATGTTATATAATACAAAATAAATTTTTTTATATATAACAAATTTTATTATATATAACAGTAAAATATAATAACAGTTATACATATACGGCGGAAAATCCCCTTAGCATTTAGAGGATTTAAGAAAAAGTACGAAAACTATTTTAAAAATTTTTTAAAACTTACGACATTTTCAAGATGTTCAAATAGGACGTTGTTTATTTTACCAAATGCGATAAAAGATATAAAAAATTATGAAAACAATTTTATTTAAATTTTTCCCTCGAACGCGCAGTATGAAACGATTCCTGTAATCAATTATATCTTGCGTAATTTCTAACGAATCTTTTTCATATTTTAAAATAATATTTTTTATGAATTAAAAAAATTTCGAAAAATGATTTTTCAATTTTATTGAATATTTCTGTTGTTATACTTAGACAACGCTAGGCTAAATCATTAGTTTTAAAAAAGTGTTCCTTTCTCCATGGGTATTTAAGCTAATCTCACAAAATTTTGCGCAGTTATTGCATATAATAACCAAAGTAATTGATTTAAGTTGTAAGATTATTATCGCTATATTTTCAGACATTGGATACTCAGAAACATTTTTTTTGTTCCTATTTTATTACCGGTTCCTGAAACTTTTAAAAGCTTTAAACTTTATAGATATGTATGGAAAATCGCATGATGTAAACCCATCTAAAAATTTCAAAATGCCTCTATTTTTTAAAATTTTTCTCTTAGTATTTTCTGAGAAATATGTTAAAAAAAACTAATCAGTATAGAAGTATTTTCATTACTTTGTCCTACCCACGAATAACACTTATGATAATACATAATGACTTAAATATTTTACTTATTGATTGCCGTAGTGAGTATTCATTATACTTTTTTTTTCAAATGTAAAGTATGCAGGAGAAACTTGACCCTCTTTTTAGTCATTAGATTGATCGAAAGTTTGTGTTAATTTTGCTTCTTGTCCAGTATGTCATAACACGGGAATCTTTTTGACTGTAAATCCTTTTTAAAAATTTTGTACACAAGTATAAGTTTAATTTCTCTTAAGATTAAAATAATTTTTAATGGATTTTTATTACTTTGTTTACTAAGTGTCGAATAAATTTTAACCCCTATATTCAAATTCATACATCCTTTTAAACTACTTAATTTAAATTGACGCGAATGAAAAATTTGAGAGAAATCGGTAAAATAGTTTCTCAGAAATAAATTTAAAACTTATGGCTTCTTAAAAATTTAACGACTTAGGAGCTATTCCTCCAATTTCTCACTAATTTTGTCTTTTTGTCATTGAAAATAGCTTAGAAATTGTTATGACTTATAATTTATTGTTTTCCCACCCATATTAAATGAAATAATAAAAAAGTATTTGAAAAACTATTAAAATTATTGTTTCCATTGGCTATCTTTGTTTAAACTAAACCTATAAGTGTATGCAAAGAGCTTCCGAATATTTTAAAACATTTTTGAGGTATGAGAAACGTGAATTTGCTAGAGAATTTGCTACTGAGTGCTGTATGTTTATAATATCACCCCTTAAATTTTTAGCTAATTTTTTTAATTGAAACTGCTAAAATTTAATTTCCATCAAATGGTTCCATTACAATCAATTATATTTTTAACGGTAACTAGCCCTCCTCCCCCCAAATTCAGTCAATTTTAAAATGATCCAACATAAGAATAACAACTTTTTTGATAGCGTATTCTCATTAAACCACCAGAAATTTCATTCATTGAAAATTAATTGGTTGAATAATCATGAATAACCATTACAACAATGGGAGAATTCAGACAGATTTATGATGGACCAACATAAAAAAAGCAATTTGTTTTGATAGTCTGTTTCTGCTTTACCAACAAGAATTTCAACATTGTTTCTTCGAAATTCATTTCGGGGACAATGACCAATATTAAGTGATGGACATTGATGGATCAAAATTTCCATCTATATATTATTAGTTGACCAAGTAAAACATTAATCAAATCAGTAAAACGTTATATTTAAACATGAAATGATTGATGTTATTGGTACCAAACATAATCTAATGGAAGACCATCATACCAGGGAAATATCTTTCCTCATAAGGTGTGGGAATTTTGCAGACGCATGAAAATCAAACATCTCTGTATGGCTAACCATCATAGTATTAAGACAGCATTTCCATCATGCAATGATTGTAGCTTGATTTAAAATCAAAGCCCATGAACATTTGTTGAAAATTGCTCGTGATGACCGTCATATATTGCTGGAACATCAAGAATCGAACTGAAATCATCATAAACCATTAAAATATATTGATGAGACTATGGCGGATCTAATCGTCTACTGTAAACATAACAGTCTTTCGGTAAGTGCATGACATCCATGAGCTTCTTGTGTTGCTACTCACGGCAGGCCTCTCAGGCAGTAGCGTAGCCAAATAACATACATAGGGTAAGAAGTCTAGCTTTCATTGACATAATGTAAACTAGTTCCCCAAGGTTAGGTGTGGTCCCTGTG